CAATCATTCATGCGATTATGAAAATTTATAAGAATTTTTAACAAATCATGGTAGGGATCACTGAGATTTTAATTATTTAGCGGAAAGTAAGTAAGAATTATCAACAAATAAAAAGTGGATAAAAAAATATTTTTTTTGGGATATCCATATATTGATATTTGATGTATAAGCTCTTTTCACATTCTCAATTCGTATTAATTTAACCCTTTCCACTCGCGAAATCCGAGACTACATGTATTTTGCCGCCGGAGCGAAAAGGTAATCCGAGTGGAAAGGGTTAATACTTTTCAATTAAATTTTATTTAATGAATTTATTTACATTTTTAGCAACAATTTTTTTTTGAATACATAAATACTAAAAATAATGTATTTTCTTTCCTTCGTAATAGAGTCATAAATATAACCACAACTGTTTATTTAATTACAATAGCGCTAAATAAAATTAAGAAATCAATTCTGCGTGAATTCTCCATAAATTGATTTCATGAAGAATATATAAACGGAAATTTATAGAGTGGAACAAAAAGTAGCTACATAATATTTATTACCATTACCGAGTGCGAATAGTGTTATAAGAACAAATAAAATGAGGCCGTATTTCATTATATAATTCTTGTTATGTGTACTCTGTACAATGTAGATTACTTCGATTTATTTCCTATAATGCATATTACCGTAGTAATTGTGAATTTGAACTCTTAACAACTTTGCCTGTTCGTGGGCGTGAATGTTATAGCATTCATTTTCATTGGGATGCAAAAAAAACATGAATACTGTTGCATTCAAATTTTAAAGTCAATTATTTTGTCTCTAATTTTATATAACCTTACGTTTTAGTAATTATTATACCTGTCAAAGTAATGACTAACTGATGCTTTAGGTATTTTTGAATTTTCTTATTTTTTCCAGTAGTCACTAATTAGTTTGGGCAAGTACTTTGCGTAAAATAGAAGCAAAATACTTGACGTGGATGCTATAGCATTCATCGTGCATAACGATTAAAATGTGATTCATCGTTCAATTTTATACTTTATACAAAGTAAACAAGATTTTACTTTCACACTAGTGCTAAAATTATTTGTAAGCTGAATCAAAATTCTGGCCAAGTCTTCAAAACTTGAGTTGAACGATAAAGCCCTTGAAATATAAGTTTTTGAAATATCATTCAAATTATCCTCGTATGCAAATATTATTATTCTTTAAAAGACCAAAATAGTTCTGCATATATTGTGTATTATAAATTTAAATCAATGAATATATAAATATTTCCGAAGGTGTGCCTGAACCAAACCATGAAATCAATGTCGCGACTTTTGCAATTGTCCTGTTGTTAGCTTATTCATTTAGATTTGTAATGTTTTCAAAATTTGTGAAATTATTTCAATGATATGCTTTTGTGTATAAGACAGTATTAGCAAATTTTACAACATTCATTTTAACTAACCATTTTGTGTTGAAGTATTCCTTTTTCAATAACGTTTGTATAGCGAATTACAAAATATCTATTTTGAACGCTAAAGTGAATACTTTTATTGCTTTATAATATAAATAAAAAATCATAGGATTCGTGCTCTTCACAAATATTTTTTTTGTTGTTTGTTTCTGTATTGATTGGACAATAAAAAATAAGAAATTATAAAAATATATCGTTTCCTACATTCTCTTTTATTCTTTTAATGACTCAATAACAGTGGGTAATGGTTTATTTACGTTATGTTACACAATTTACGACTAATTTTTGCAACATATATGATAGAAAACATGTTCATATAATGATTCATCAAAATAAGAATTTTTTTCAACCTTGGCTGATTTTTATATAAATTCAGGTCAAACAATATGTACCCGGATATTTTATTTGTAACCAATTAGCGTAATGCATTGCCACATATAGTAACTTAGTAGGTACAAAATAAAGATGCGTATCCATGATCGAATAAAATTGCGAAATTTTATGCAATCACTCACAAAACATCTTGTGATACTTAAAACAACAAGTTGATAATGATAAATAATATTTTTGATTTTTTTTTTTGCATTGATCTTGACTCTTTGCATTTTTTACAATCATTTCTAGAGTTGCTTTTATTAAAATAATTGTCCAATCTATTATATTCCACACAGAAGATTTTTCAATATTCTGAGCCAGTATAAATATTTAAAAGTTTAGCAAAAATTATATCCTCTGATGAAGTAGAAGGGTCTTTTGATTCTGTTTTAAATTATTTAAAAAACTACTCCAAAATTTGGCATGCAAAATTGCCTAAATATGATGACTAAGCAATGTTTTTGTCAATATATTTTTTTAAGATAATTAAGAGACCAATCGTAGTGTAGACAATTAAAATCCTAGAAATTTTGATATCGACAGAAACCCACGTTCTAAAAAATGATGAAAGCTCTATTTGATTTACTTAAATTATTCAAAGAGATTTACTTTTATCATACTTAAAAAGCAAAGTCGTAATTTTTTTTTTCAAATTTCATTCAAAATCAATTCAATTTTGAATTGATCACACAATCAATTTCCCATTTACTTTTATCCTTGAACTATAGTATCAATATTCATATCCTAGCAAATCTTTTCGCGGTCCATAGTCACTTATCCTAAGTCGATAATTGTAAATATGCTCAGTCACACATTTATGATCATCTTATTTAGAGAAAGTTGATGTTATGCAGTAGGTAACTGGTTTTTAATTGCCGTAAACATCTCGACGATATTATTATATAATTTGAGGTAAAAAACTGATCGAGCTTAACTTGGGTCATTGGCATAGTGATACCTCTAACTCTGTGATCTAGAATCTAGATTATGACATACATATAATTGCGCCTGTAATTACAAAGATTGCAGATAGATAATTTGTTATTTCCTAGGTAATTAAATGGTGCGTGCATGTTTATATGACTTATGCTATATACTTAAAAAATCTCAACCGATCTGTGTCACTATTTTGTTTAAAAATTGTAATAAATATAGTTGTTAAACATTTCATTATGAAATTGTATTCGACGTTTCTGTACACATGGCCAAGCAATACAAATTCCTGGATATTATATTTGTATCTAATGGTTAAACCATTTCTGAATAATTCATTTTTTTTGCAGTAACCGTTGTACCCTTCTTAGTATCTTTCACCATTTACAAACAATTGAAAATGTTTGTACTTGAATTTAGTAATATTATAAAAATTGTAAAGGAATAATTTTTGTATAAAAGACCATTCCAATTTTTATCAAAATCACTTGATCTCCTTGTAGAAAGTAGTTATTTTAATTAGTATGTTGAATTTGTTGTATTTTTTTTTAAAGATAGATATTTAAAATTAATACTATCATAATAAATTATAACCAAAACCAAATCGAGCTAAAAATCCTGAAAAACAAATATTTCTGTTTAAAGATCGTTCCAATTATCCAACTATTGGACTACAATAGTTAAAGTTGCCATTGACTTTTAATCGTTAATTTAATTTAACACGTTGATCGCCATGTCAGTCATATGTGTCTGACACTAAGAACTACATGAGCCATTTCTGACATACTAGACTCTAGACTTTGGTAGGAGAAAAAAGATTTAATATAGCCATGTTAGTAATATACGTGTGACATAAAAAAGCGTTTTCTAGGAATTTGGCAAAAATTTTTTGGATACATTACTATCTAATGAAGTTACCATGGCCCAAGTCTGATATTATCGTGGTGATTAACGATAACTAGTGGTGCATGGCATCGTGCCTTAAGGCAAATTAATGAAACTTCCCGTACGAAAAATTAAATTTTTGAAAAAAGAGTCCATTTTTTAGAACTCTGAAAAAAATAGATTTTTGAGACTTTTAAATTTTTTGAAGAAAATGACCATTTTCAAAAATTTGATTTTTCTATATTTTGGAAATTTTGAACTTTTTTCAAAGCAATCGCGATACGTTAGCTTATTATTAAAATATATATACAATATGTGATAATTTGATGTGCATATGTCTAGTCGATCATTTTCTGTCCGCCAAATAGACCTGCCTTTCCAAAAATTTCACCAGTCCAATTTCATTTCATCAACACAAATAAAATATTTTTCGAATCATTCAAATTGGACGCTCGGTTCTCTCATAAATTAAATAAACATTTTTGGCACTTTTTGGCCCGTATCTTGTTTTTTGTAGCATTCAGATTGATTGATCCGTGTTCTCGAAATCGTCGGACGAAAAATTGTTTCCGCACATACACACACACACAGATACATCCATTTTTGCTGAGGTATGCCAAAATGTTCAGAAACCTCTGAAACGTAAAGATATATAAAACTTTTCATTTTTGATTTTTTTGCGATTACTATAACTTACCCTACGGGAAGTTAAAAGTTGTATCCATATATACATACACACACACATCAATTTTTTCTGAGATATGCCAAAATGTTCAGAAACCTTCAAAACGTAATAAAATGTAAAATTTCTCAATTTCGATTTTTGGACGATTACAATAACGGGAAGCTAATGAAGTTACTATGACCCAAATTTCAATAATTTAATATTTTTCAAAAAATAGATTCTTAAGTTCAATAATATTTCAATAAACTATAATCGAATCGATATTTAAATGAAAATTGTTCCAATTTTTAGGCAGTAGTTATTCTTGTTAGCAAGTTCAACCCTAGAATGGTATCGCGCTTTTTTGTGTACAAGTGATGTATTAAACGTCTTTTGTATATACTTTGTGATATCATCATAGGTTATTTAAAAAAATATGCAACTTTGATTTAGTAACAAATAATCTTTTTATTTTTTCAAAATTTCCATAACAAAAGTACTGACACCATTCATTATTGTATGCATGTATGCCTCGGAGGCGAACAGATACCGTTCTAGGGTTAAATAGTTCGAAAAATTAGATACTTAAGTTTAGATACCTAAAACTCAGACTTGAACATTTCTAACAAAATATATTATCGTCCGATAGTTTTTTAAATTATTTATTAATATTTATTTATTATCTTCCAGTGGACGATGCAATGGGTCGCTACGGGTCAGCATTTCTATGGGGCGATGGATATTGGACAGGCAGCGAAGCACTTTGCTCAAATATTCACGACCCTCTCAACAACGATGAAGAGATACCACCGTTTCCCATATCCTTCTACATGCTCAAATTGCTGGTCAATAAAACCGTAATAACTCAGGTTAGACCCGATAATATATTAGATGAACTTAAGATAATACTTCATTCCTTCTAAAGGGATTAATGACCCTTTAGAGATAAAATATAGACTATTTAAGCTTGTTGATATTTGTTATGAGATATCAACCTTTTGCATTCTAAGCATATTTTCATAACTATTAATATAAGAAATATCTCAAAATTAAGGACCAATTGAAATTTCCAATACATTAAAAACCGACCTTCAAATTCAATATCATCCATATCATCAATATCTATTAGTTCTCTAGAAAAATCTATTTCCTCACTAATGAGTTAGGCAAATCCGAAATTCACTTGCACAATTTT